TATTGAAAAAACTGCTGAATTTATTTAAGAATTTTTTTGCGAGACAAGTGGAGGGCACCGTAAACAACTGATTCATACAACATTCAGAATTTTGTTTTTCTTTTTGATGTCTCAATTTATTTCTATATTATCTAAATGCAAATCTAAAGGACCAACATGCTAAGTAATAAATTTTTACCTCAGAAAAGTTATATATATATATATATATATATATATATATATATATATATATATATATATATTTTTTTTTTTATTAATTCTGATAGATATGCTTTAGTCTGATCAAGGCTTAAATGTTGAAAAAGGTCGGAAACAAGTAATGTATTAAAATCCATAACTAAATGTACTCCACCCTGCAGAAGAAATTCAAGTGTGTTGCACCTAACTAAGGGATAAAACACGGACAGGAAAGCAAGCAAATTAACACTTGTCTGAAGCATCCACAGTAAGAAAAAAATAGAAATCAAATTAAAGACACAGATCTGGACAGAGAAACATGGCCAAGGAAAATCTGGAAAGAAAATAACACATGAAGGAAGATCTGATGACGTTAATAGAATACAAAAATAGAACAGCGTGATCAGATATCGGAGAGCGAGGAGAGTGAGTCAGATACCCAAGGAGTTTCCTGCAGATTTCACAGGGGGAAGGGAAGACAGTCAGTTTCATAAAGCAACATAACAATCACAAAACACATCTCAAACCACATTAAGCTAACAACACTTCACTTATTCCAACAGATATTAAAAACATACATCAGGTTTGCTGAATTAAATTGTATTGACTACTTATGATTACTTTTAAAAAATCTGTTTTGTGGTGGGTATTAAATAGATTCACCCGGAAAATTACATATTACATTTTACAGAAGAAAACGAAATGGGAGAATGGAAAGGCTAACCATAAACAATATCACTGTTAAAAATGGTTGTGACCTAAAGATCAATGTTACATTTCGCAATTATTTTTTAGAAGCATTAGTAAGCTTTAAAGGTAAACATTTTTAACGTTGAAGGATTGTTTTACTCGTACGGAGACAGTTTATTATTATATAATAGAGTGTGGAGTTTAGATGCAATTCCTTAAATTTGAGAATGTCATAAAAAGTTAAAAACATGATTAAGATTTAGCATCAACAGTCTGACTGAGTGTTTATTTCCGTTATGTTGATGATTATGGAACATGGCTGTACCAAAGATTCAGTTTTTGGAATATTTCGTAATACTATTACGAAGACAGAGCAGGGCTGGAGTGGGACAAATTTTCAGTCCTGGAGTTTCACGCCTCAGAAAAGACCCACATGAGATTTAAACTTACAGGTTAAGTCTACTATTGTCTACTACCTGCTGCCTACTATTGTCTTCATGACTCTGACCCTCTGCCTGACCATTGATCATTGTAACTCGGCTGGAGATATTCTCTGGGACTTCCTGACCAGTGAAAGCAACATCAGTGCTACGGCCGGAACCTAACTACGTGGTTCTTCCCAGACTGATGACTAAGAGAAGGTTAGTAACCATTACATCTGTGATTGATGGACATCATAAAACTAACTTGGTAACTAATCTTCTGTCTCTATTTCCACAGGTTCCTGCCCTAGTCACTGACACCACCTGCAGCAGTTTTGTTTCAATAAACTGTGTTAAACTTTCACACCGGTTGTGTGATTTCAATTCTCGGTCCATCTCTTCTGATCATTACCATAAAGGCTTTTAATTAAATTTCCTTTTCTAAAATACCTTTAACACAGTACAAGTTAGGGTTGTTTCACAATGAAGACTTGTTCAAACATTAGTGCAAGTTCCCAACATTATTCTTCATACCCTATCTTTTTCAACAATATCAGAATCAACATTCTGTTCAAATAGTTGTTCATTGATATCCAAACCTTCAAAGCGAAATTAAATAACTGACAATATTATTATTTCACACTTCCTTCAGTTTCCTCAGACTCTCATGGACCTACATCACATATAAAATAGTCATCTTTAAAGTACGCATTACTGAACTTAAAGGTATAGAGGAAGATCTTTTATTTCCATTCTAAACAAGTGGTCCTCCTAATTGTCAATCACTCTGGTGATATGTTTACGTGAGGCCATCCAACATGCTCGTCCCCAGTTAGCCATCTTTTCCTGCGCATGCGCACTTTCAGGCGTATATCTGTGTTGAGTTATGTCAATTAGTCATTAAAGCTCACCTTTCTAACTGGTCGTCAGATGAAAAGTGTCTTCGAAGTGTATGTGAAGAAAAGAAAGGCCTCAGAAGAGGCAGATATATCTCAGAATGCTCTGTGCGGAGAGCTTTCCTTGAAAAGCATTATGGGATTTGCAGTCCGAGCAGCCCGCTGCCACTCCCCCCCAGCAGAGACTAAAAACAAAGATGGCGCAGGTACCGTGCGATGGAGGAGGAGTTACGTGACTGACAGGGAGCAAAAAGCAGTTATCATCTGTCTAAATGGTAAGTTTTGCTTCTGACACCGAGTAACCTTTGAAAAAAATATGGCCATATTTGTGAGCGTACAGAACTGCGCTCATGGCTGGTAATTGGTACTGCTGTATAGCTCCTTTGACTCTGAGGGGCTACCAGACAAACATTCCTATTTATGTGGCATTGCATGCTTTTATTTAAACTATATAACATAGATTATGTAACACAACACCACAAAATGCAATGACTTGATAATTAACGTGTTCAGTGGTTAGCAGGGTAAGTTCAATCCAAGTTCTTATCCATTTTATCAATGTCTTTTCACGTTACAAACCTCAAGCTTGTTTTACCAAGGAGGTTGCCAATTTTTCTTCAATAAGCAGCATCTGTTTGCAGCTTTCCTCCTTTGAATTCTGGCTTTCTCCGTGCCACCCTTTTATTTTCCATCTTTCAGACACCGTTGAGCAATTTAGTACACTGGCGTGTTACGTCTTGATGCTCGGAGAAAAAAAAAAAAAAAAACTGCCAGTGTAGATGAAGGCAGACCAAGGATGGTGGTAGCAGCGCAAGTGATCCACTCATGGATGAACAAAAAATTAAAGAAAAATCATTAAGAAAAAAATCAACATCCCTTGTGGCCCAAAAATAAGACTGGCCCACCGGGAATTGTCCAGGTTCTCCCGATTAGCCACTCTAGGGCTGAGACAGAGTGTTGTATTCAAGGCTGTCAAATGAAAGTTAAGTGGAGGGAGATATTGTGCAAAATGTTCATTCAAGAATTTGGGGGAGAATTACAAGAGAGAGTGTTTCAAAAGCACACATTGACTGGCCATCTGGCATAATGGGCATTTTCCTAGTGGGCAGATGAACTATTTGGACCCACATTTCTGACACTTATAGGTATCGTATAATGATCCAACACGCCCATGTAACCAGTTACTTCAATTCCCACTGGGCTTAAACTGTCAATGGAAAAAGGGGACAAGTTGCTTGAGGGCCTGTGTTACATATCCATGGTAAGAGACGATTTATGGGGCCTTGTCCGGTGTTTCGTTGGAACACATAGTTTTTTTTATTTTTTTTTTTATTTCCAAAATCAGTACAGCTGTCTACAGTAAACATTTACAGAACTTTGACGGCATTTTAAAACAAATGCTGATAAGTGTTATGGAGATGCCGGAGTCATTTTCAGCAGAACTTTGCAGCTTCCAAGATTGCTAAATGTACCAATACATATTTTAATATTATTTAGAGACCAGCATATTGACCTGACTATAACTTTATATAAAACCTATACAGTATTCTTGGGAGGATAAGATACACCAGATGCAACAATGCAAAAGAGATGGAGGTTAATGTTAAAGAAACTTAGAGCCTTATTAATACATCAGCAAAATGATAACTGTATCCTCACTAATCCTAACAGCACATATTTGGTAATTAATGCAAAGGGGCCCTAGACAAATAGTGGGTGCATTCTGTACAGCACATGCTAATACTTTTCAGTTGGCCAGTATTGCTGCTTTGGAAATCCTTTATTTTGAAACTTGTGTATTATTCAAATTTTCTGAGAAACTGAATCTTGGTTTTTCATTAACTGTAAGCCACAATCATCAGACATAACAGATATAAACACATAAAATATCTCACTCTGTGTAATGAAGCTAGACAATATATAAGTTTCACTTTCCAAATTGAATCACTGGAATAATTTACATTATATTCTCAGTTACAGCATGCACCTGTAAAGAAGGCAAACTGATGGCAGTGCACAATCATTATTAAAAATATCAGCTTTTGTAGTGCCGTCTTTAAGCAATTGCTGAACCGCACTGAGCATGTGACAGTGCTGAGCGATAGCAAAAATGCATTATTTTGCTAAACAGAGTTTTAACACAGATCAAGTCATTACATTAAAAGGACAAAGCTGGAAATGTAGCCAGCTTGTAAAGTCTACTTGCACCTGAGTTCAAATAAAAAATTCATTTGCAATTATATAAAAGCCCAAACTAATAGGTTGTATAAATCAAATATGCTGGGTTAGTGGGTAAAGCAGATTTTATGGAGTAGTAGTTACTGATCAAAATTAGGACACTGTCTCTGCTCTCCTTGTAAGTAAGCTTAATGAGGACTTAATATCCTCTCTTCCAAAACATCTTGTGTCCCTGCAAATCCTGGGAAGCCTAAGCCCTTGGACCACCAAAACATTTTTAATCACTAATCTTGGTACTTGGCATTTGATCTTTTTCTCTGAAAACTAGAAATCTGTAGCAGGGATTTTACCATCCTGCATGAAAGCTGCAGCAAGAGTTTCAGAGCCTCTCTGATGAGGAAAAGTTAATCCTTCCCTATGACTTTTTCTTTCTGCATTAGTCTGACTACAAATTGATGTGTGGCATATTGATTATATTTAGGGGAAAGGGACAGAGGACAGGCGAAAGGAAAGAAACACAATAGGGAACTCTGCCAACAAATCAAAAGCTATTATGGTTTACATCAGGGCTTGAATAGGACAAGCTGGACCGGGCTTATTCGGACTGCACCAGACTGGGAAAACACTAAAAACTTACCAGGGCAGTTGTGATAGGAAACATTCTGTGTTCTTGGTCCTATTCTGGTTGGACATGGACCTTAAGAAGCAAAAAGATATGGCTACAGACTTGCATGATAGAACCGCTGAGATTGAAGAGAGGACCTCTATGTGTTTTACTAATCCACCTTATTCCTGCACAGAGTTCTGCTCATTCTGACCTTTCATTTTTTTCCAATGCAGTTTAGGTCAGTAAAAAAGCGATGCCTAGAATTGAAAAAATTGCAACTCATAGGTGCAAAATTAGGGGTATGAAAAAGGACAATACTCATAAAATCCCAAGTGTTACAGTAAAATTTACTCTGGATGCTACCGTTAGAAAAACTGAGGAAATTGCAGTAAAGTGTTATGCTTTGGAGGCTGCTAAAATTAGCTGTCATTTTGAGATAACTGGTTCCAGTTTCACTAAATACCTGCCTTTTTGCCTGTTTGTATAATTACTAGCCGACTTTCATCTCACTTCCAAAACTTTACTTGTGTTTCAATAATTTAACCAAGGAATAAAAAGCGTATCGCTATGCTGGGTTATGGCTACACGTGGCTCTAATAAACAGGAAGAAGAGATAACAACCCAGCCATGACCACAGAACGATAATGGATCAAGAAATTAATGAATGTGTTACAATTAGGCAAGTTGTACTTGTATTGGCCATGGCACAAACCAATCGCAGACAGTGAGAGGGGTACAAAACAGCCAATCATACTTGGGAGATACACGATCACTAAAACAGAACTTACTTGACAAACTTCTTTCAATCACCTCTTCTTTTTTGAAAAAAGTCAAAAAACAACCTCAAGAGAGTGAAAAATTTTTTGCGTGAAATTCAGTAAGTTGATACGAATGTTGCTTTTTCCATCAAGACCTTCTAAGGTTAAAGTCAAAAGTTTTCTTAAAATATTTTGATGAAATATGGTCATGCGGGTGATTGTAACAGACAACAATCTAAGTCCCTATTCTCAACCAGAAAATAAAGATAATTTGGAAAAATAGTCAAATAAGCAACCAGTGTACTTTAAGCAGATTGAACCCGGGGGATTGAGCGGTTGCCAGGGATCTTGCTAAGAACCCTCTCTTTAACTCCTCAACTCTGCCTGAAGCATAGATAGAATAACTGTTTAATTTCTAACTTCGAACTAATGTCCACGAAGGACTAAACTACTGAGGGGGTAAAACGCATTTGGACGTAAAAAAAGAGGACTGTCCAATCAAAACAGTGTGAGGGCAAAATCAGATTTTATATTATGCCCACTATTTGACCCTACCCCATCCTGCGAGCTTCAGACGGGGGTTATTGTGACCATCTTGGATACTGTGTAAGCACTGATTTCCATTATCGATTTTTAAGCCATTCGTTGGCTTTACTTTAATAGCATTGGAAATGACAGAGCAACTAAATATGCTGGCTCATGTAACCACAGAATTTTTCCCGTCATCCTCCTAAACATTGAAAGACAGAGGGACTTGCATACATTATCCTACTGTATCTAAAGCGTAAAACTAGATATTCGCTAATGTGTTATTACTATTAGAGTGTCACAGCTAATTCAAGCAAAGCATCATGGGTTATAGGAATAAGGTGGATTAAATAACACTTGAAAGAACTGAACCTCCTAGAGCAGAAGTTTAATCAACACACAACAATGATTTTGACTACTTCCTTGTTGTGAGAAAAAAAACAAAAAAACAACAACAACCATAACAGTGGGTGGACATGAGGGCATCTTGAGGGTAATCCTTTTATTAAGGTCAGGGCTACAACAGCAAGAGATGAGATCAATACATCACTTAATGATAAGGCAAGAACGAAAAATAACAGAAAAAACACCAGCACATTCATGTTGAAAGTTTGGGCTGAAGGATCTGTCTTTGTTCAAAGGTTTGACTTAAATGGCCATTATGACATGTTCCAACTTTAATTATATGCCCTTGGAACCACTGAGAGGTTAACCTTTAAGATGTAATGAGTTTTACCATCTACTTATTATCACCATGGCAATCTCATCAGGCACTTGGCATAAATGTTGGGGAGAAATAGCAATAATCAATACAGGATAGATGTAGTGATCAGGAGGTGAAGTACAACAGAAGTCCATTATTTATATTGAAGCATCCCCTAATCTGCTTACAACTGACATACATATCAATACATAATTGTAGAAATTACCAGAAGACTGTCTTCCCATCTCTTTAGCCTCTATGTCAATTTCACCTGATGTAAATTCATCTAAATCTATGTCATTAATCAGTGTGTAAAGGTTACTTGGGGGAATTTCCAACATAAATTGCAAATGAACATGGCAGTCTAAAGGACAAAGGGGAATTTTAATACAAAGAGCAAGCTAAAGATTGTACGGGAGCTGAATAGCAGTAAAAAATTTCATCAACAGTGCAGCACACAAAAATGTGAACACTATCTCGTTAGATGAATTATTGCCTTGTTGACTTACAAGATGAGCTTTCTGTACTGTTACATAATGAAACATCGGTTAATATATTTCAGCACCTGTTGTGCTGTATATTAAGCCATCAAGTCAAGCTGAGCAGTGCTTTCGCCTGATAGACTGCTCTGTACAAAGAAGAAAAAAAAAATCCTGCTTGCTATCACAGAGAGGCAGCATGACTTCCTCTGCCCTCCCTCTAGTCTGCTACCTCATAACTGGGCTCGTGGATCCACTGGAAACACTGTGAGCACATCAATAATGAGGGGGAGTGCAGAAAAAGACCAAAGGGTTTTACAGGTCATATTTCAAGGAAAGTTCACTGAGTGACACAGATTGAAGACAAGACAGAGGAAGAGGGGTGCTGAAAGGTACTGCAGACAAAGAGAGGCAGAGCAGAAATGGGACGGGGCATGGTTCAACACAAAGAGAAGGCAAAGGGGCAGAGAAGATGAGAAGCAGAGAGGAAGAGTTTTTTTTTTTTTTTTTTTTTTTCAATTCACGAGAGAAGGGTCTTACTTACTGTAGGGCACACATTCATACTGGACCTCCAGATACTTGTAGGTCCCTGGGCAGGGGTCAGGGAAGACATCTGAACCTGTGATCACAATGCACTGGGTGCGATTGTTGCATCTGTAAACACAAAAAAGTAAAATAAAAACAACTTTTAAAAATACTCATTTTATATGACACAAAAATAATTGTATAGATAATCTGTAGGTTTTGCTCACAGTAAAAACATTTTAGGACCCTTTCAAGACCAATTGAGGATTTATTCTTTATTTTAAAGTATTTAAAGTGTTGTTATTTATTTTTTTTATGTGACAAAACCAAAGGAAACTTCATCATGTAATATATTTCCAACCTCAATAACCGAAATAGCTAACAGCTACATAACACGTTTGTGTTCATATAATTTTGATATCAAAGATATAGTGGAGGATGCTCTTTTTCTGGGTGGAACATCAAAATAAGTGGTCCTCCTAATTGTCAATCATTCTGTTGATATGTTTACGAAAGGCCATCCTATGTGCTCGTCCCCATTTCTATTTACCAATGGTGAGTCTGACATAGTGGAAAATTTTAAAAACTTCTTTTGGAAAGTAAGCCTGTATGAGTGATGCAAACAGCAACTTTTACCCAAATCATGTTTATTTAAAGAGATACATTAAATTAAGATTATAAAATAATATATATGGACATTTTGTTGCAAACTAAATAAATGTCGCACCCATTACAGGGATGGCATAGTTGTAGATTAAAGTGCAGCGTAATACAATACAAGCCCAAAAGGAGGTTTCTCAAAAATAAAAAAATATATCAAAGTAAAGGGCATTGGTTAACTGCTCCTTTCTAGTCACAATTAAGCTCTTTCTTCTGCTGACAAAAAATAAATGGCATATTCTTTTGCTTTTAAATTTCCCACTGAATCTTACTTTAATTAAACTATTTATTTTTTCTATAGATTAGACAGTCTGTTTTTTCAATAGCTTGCACAGTCTGTTATATATATAAAGTCACAGGTTAAAACTATGCATCTGATTCTGTAAGGAAGCAAAACAGTAAGCTATGATTCCTAGTAAAGACAACTTTTCACCTTCGTTTTATAATATCTTTAAGAAACTTAAAAATCTATGTCTGCTTAAATATCCAATTTAAAAAAGAATGAAAGCAAAATATATGCATAAATTTATCAACAAAAGAAATATGGCAAATTCCATTTATCTACAAATGCGAGGCATATACCAACATAGTGAGCAAAAATAAGAGAGTCAATAATTCTTAAAAGTCATTCAAATTCAAATCAGCTTTTTTTTTTTTTTTTCTCCCGTACTCACACTCATATCAATTCCAGTTAATGCACAGAGTGTTTGGAGGGTAGAAATGAAAATTGGCACACTGTGCACTGAAGCAGACCAGAAAGATGCAGGGGAATCACCACTTTTGCTACACTGAAAACATGACAATGACATCAACATACAAAGAAAGTAATCTTTTTCCTCAACTGACAAATATTTTCTTTAAAATCTAAGGTGCTTGATTGATCAGTTTGGCTGATTTAAGGAGGTCCAGAAATGCATTAGTTTCATCTTTTTTTTTTTTTCTTAACTTTGGAAAATTTAATCTTTAGTGCATAGAGTCATTCTTCACAGGCCTAAAGATCTCAACTCTATTAAAATCCCAAATGTTCTTATAATAATAATAATAATAATAATAATAATAATAGCACCAGTTTGTTTTCTGTACAAATTACAATAATATTAACATAACAATAACATCATAAACTGCTTATCTTTATTTCACAAAATTTGCCAGTCCTGAAAGTTAGCTGAGGACTGGAGTTTAAACCACAAGACTATATCCTGGAGCATGAAGAAAAAAACAAACAAAAACAAATTCTCTTTTTGAAATATTGTACTGAAATTAGAACACAAAAATAGAAATAAATTCTACTTATTTTTCTTTATGATCTTAATAAACACATTAAAGTTAATCCAAGTTCAGTAAATTAACTTACACATTCTGTTTGAGAACATTTTACAAAAAAAAATCTCTTTTTTATCTCGCTTGAATTTCTTTAAGAAGTACAAGAATGTTGAAATAAGAGCACTGTATATGGTTGTTCATACCCAATTTATATTCAGATCTGTGCGCACATCTGTGTCCACAAAGAATCTCGTGGGATTTTCTCTTCATTAATGACCTCCATGTTCAATAACAGATGAAAAAAGAATGTATTTTATTGTTGCTCTGATGAAAATAAATTCCTGTTTAGAAATTAAAACATGCACCTCATGCTGAGATCATAATAGACTGCTTGTTGGTTTTTATGTGTGGCAAATATTTTATGGTTCTGCACCGCTTTCCACATATTAAATGGTCACTTTGATGACTCTGTCTGCTTTGCTCATGCATAAGCATATCATGCAGAAGCAATATAAATTACAGTGCTTTATCAGTAGATTCCATTGAGACCAGGAAATGAATGCCTAGTTTATGTCAGGCGTGTAAAACTGAATAATATAGAAAAATAAAATTAGTGACACTAATGAGACACAGACCTGCCATCATTACCCAGGCAAAAGTATTGAACAACACAGGAAAAAAGATTTGAAAAAAGCTCATACTTCTTCAGAAACAATGTTGTCATATGCGTTTATAGCTCTTCTTGATATATTGCCCTAATTTTAGCGCAGTGGAACAGGAGCATCCTGATCTATGGGATTGTGTGAGTCTGATTACCGTCTCATCTGTGAAACCTAGAGGATCTCCTGAGACCAATTGAAAAAGCCCAAATGACTTCTTCCATGCATAGTCTTACCACTCATTTTGAAAGAAAGCATGTGATCTAAATTCCACCAATAAGAACTTCAGCATTATGCTGTGCAGGGCACAGGTCTCACAGTGCACATAATTAAGTACTTTTAAAATATGATATCTTTTACTACCTTTTGATAGTCTGAGGCTATAGTCTGTGCTAATTAATCATCTACATAACGAATATTAAGTAAAAGAGTTTTTTTTGCCACATTTCTCTAGAGTGACACATTCTCATTCTGTACTCTGTTTTGAAATATGTAAACTATATGCACCCTAAATATTTATTTTTATGATTAAAAATAAAATCCTACACAAAAGAGAGAATCATTTTAATGTAAAAGAAATAGAACAATAAAAAGGGCATGGTGGAACGTGTGCTTTCTCCTCTTGCCTCTTCTTCGACCTCTAGCCCGTTAATCACACTGAAGCATTCCAAATGTAATCCCATCACATCACTGACCTTTTGGGAGAGGCAGACATCAGTACAATTAGAGTGTCATCGAAAACGCTGCTCAGCTTTGATGCATATCTCTCTTAAAAATGAGCACTCCCAGCTGACAGTAGGAAATGGGTGGAATAGGATGCCAACGAGGTAGAACGGATGGCACTCCTGACACCATGTATCCAGATACAACTGAACTTTTTTGCCTATTATCATAAACCATTTCAAAGGAATAATTGGGCATGATGATAGCACGTTATGAATATTATGAGATATTTTTCCAAACCCATTTTAATCACAAATAACTGTTCACTTTTCACACTGATTATTTATAAAATGTGCTTACTTTGTGCAGTTCTTTAAAAATTAGTACTTACACATTTAAAATGTTTACTGCATTTTACTTTGTTCTAATTAACTAATGAGTAAAATCAAGCAATAAGAAGTCTTTATTTTACTTTAAAGTAACGAATTAACAGAAGATATTAAGCTAAAACCATCAAGAAAGCCTCGTTCAAACCTAACTAAATCTTTAACAATGGTAGTATTATAGCAATTGTTATGTATATACAGTAAATCCGCTCCAAGGCAGGTGCAGTCTAAGTGCAGGTCTTGTCCATATAAAGACAAACATGGTATATTATCTCAAACGGCTTCCACTAACTTTGCCTTTACATAAGTGTGCACAGCACAAATGATGATGCTGTAGGACCTATGCCAAGCCCTTCGGTGTCACTGTGATAGTGCTAATGAATCACAACTAAACACACAAGAGGTAGGTTGGGCCACAACATCCTTGATAAAAAAAAAGATGCGATTTGCACATACAAACACTGAAACATGCAACCATTTTACTCTGGAACCGGGTTTCCAAAATTATTATGTTCTCTCCAAAAACCAGTTCCTTTTTCGATAACCAGCTTGAACGAGTAAACATCAACATTGAATATATCCTATATATTATAATACATCAAATCTTGTATCTGTGTGAATAAGGCCCGAGTGTTGCATCAGTCTGCTTCTAGGAGTGGCTGTGAGTATGTTGTTCTCTGATCCACTGCAGCAGATAAATGCAATCTGGATTAATCAGCAGCACGCACTAGGAACTCAAACAATTCAAGTAAGATTCCAGTCATTTGTTGATGTTCAGCAAAGCTGAAGACAGCAGAGACAATCCCTAAAAAGGAACTTTACTTGCAGGATTATCAAAAACAAAAATTGACTTTTAAAAAAAGTCTTCAGGTAAACATCTTGTCCACTTAGTCTCTGCTGAACAATTATTTACAGTTTTGGTATAATTGCTACTCTAAGTGTGTCGCTCTGTCAACTAAAGGCATGTTTTAGAACCTCTATACTCCAGTTGACGATTAATCGATTACTAAATTAGTTGACAATTATTTCAATAATCGATTAATCACCATTAATTCAAATAATTGTTTCAGCCCTAAACACATATATAATATAGTTCTGAACATTTGAAGTATGTATTTTTTTTAAGGAAAAGTACATATGTATCTTGAATGTACAACGTCTTAAATAGACCATATAATATTCAGTGATTTCAGTGAAATGGCATTGACTTTAGCAGACAGACAGGGAAAATGCTGGTGGAACTTAGAAGAGAGCAATGTATATGCTGTGCAATGTAGATTAATGTAGACAATTGTGTACAAAATTGGGTATTTTAGTAATTTTCATGAAGACAGTAGTTTCTCAACAGCTTTAATCGACTCTTTTTTTTATTACTTCTTCGGCCTTTAAAAAGAAGACCCCGACTGAGAGCCTCTCAGCATAGATGAGGTGTTGTTATTAGAACCCAACTCCTCCAAACCCAGCTATTAAGTTAAGAAACTGAAAAAATACAGTTATTAATGATCAACTATAATGAATATTAATATATCGAAAGATATGCTAAATTTTAATCTATCTTATTGAAGATTTTTCACAAAGATTTTTTATGAGCTAATAGGGGATCATGGAGGTAATGAGGAACATTTTTTTTTTTTGCACCCATCTCTTTCTTTCATTTTGTCCCATTTGCTGGTAAAGCCCGCACCTATTTGTTGAGCTCTTTTCTTCTTTTTTAATATTGGTAGGCAACATTCATACCTACCTTAATAAGCAAACTGTCAAATTGACCCAGTGATCAGCAGGATGGTTACACACCTGTGCAGCAATGACACAACATTTAATGGGGTAGTAAAAAAAAACAAGAAGCAAAGCAGCATCCATTGGCCATCTCTGCTTTACAGGCCATTTGGGAATCCTTCCAAGCCTGGGAAATCCACCCCTGCCTGTAAAGGTTGTGCTCTCTGTCTGCTGGTGGGAATGCATATGTTTACCTGCAAGCAATAATACTCATAGGGAGTATGAGTCAATGACACGGTGGGAAGCTCGCAGGGCAGCTGGGTGGTCCATGTTTTCATAACGCTGACTTGAGATCCTCAGACGGGTTTCTTATGTATTATATTTTATGTGTATTATATACGTATTATAGGAGAATGTTGGCCTAGTGGTTAGATCAGTGATCCTAGAGCAGAGATCCCTTTGATCCCAGCCTGCACTCTGGGTCCCTGAGCAAGACCCTTAACCCCACACTGCTCCACAGGCGCCACACAATGGCAGCCCACTGATCCCCAAGGGGATGGGTTAAATGCAGAGGTAAATTTCTCCAATATGAGAACAATACCATTCCGTTATTATTATGTATTATGTGCAAAAAAAGTAGGTAAATGTGTTGAGAGACATTTTCAGTGGCTGTTACTCAAGTTAAAATTCAGGTGTGAGAACACTAAAATGCCAGAACAAGTGAAATGCACTTTTTCCCATACTGCCTTCATCCTCTATTCTTTCCTCGTTCACTTTCTTTCCTTCTCTCACCTAAGCTCTCCAAAAACTGGATCTACAACCTGACCTGACACTCTCATAAGCATTTAGAATACCAAGGCCATTTAAATATACTGTCTAAATTTGCAGGGAATCCGACACATTTCCTAAAGAAGTCACATTGATTCAAGCTTTGCAGAAATGCCCCCCTCATCTTCCTCGGTTCTTCTTTTGTAAAATTCAATTTATGATATATGAAACTTTGTTCTTGTAAAAGCAGTTTGCCTGTGTGATGCACTGGCAACTTGTTGAGGGTGCACCCACCTCTCACTAATGGCCAGCTGGAAATAAGGCAGCAGAATTACATGACTTGGCATGAAAAAGTCCAATTGGATTCAAATACCATTTGCTTATAAAAGCAGTTTTGCTTAAAGGAGAAGTTCGGTTTTTTACACTTTAAGCCCATTTTCTGTAGTGTCCAGGATGAAATCGAATGATCGACACCAAAAGTTTGACAATTGGTCCTGTCTCTGCTTTTTGGCTCATTTAGAATCAACCCCTGGCTGCTTTAGAATGGCTTGCATAGAGCATGTCCGATAATATCCTTAAAACAACCTTAAACGTTCTTTTTTTAAAATATGCTACTCACCGGGTCGTCAGCGCTGTTCAATGACGTTCCAAAAAAAGTTTCGTGAAGAAAAAACATTCCTGTCGTGTTTTATTTAGCATTTTGTAAATCCCATTGAGTTCTGTTGGAATAGTCAATATTCCCCTGCCACCGGAAACGGAAATGGGGCCTGTTTACACAGTTGTAGTCTTTTCGCTTCACTCTGTGTACTCCGACGTCGAGAATCAAGAATCCACCTTTCGTATTCCATTTTCAGAGTTTTTTAAAGTGTTTAACAGAGACGTTAGCACCTCGACGTCGGAGTGTTATGAATGCCCAGGATGCTTCAATAGCAGCCTGTAGCTCATTTGCATTGCTGGGTCTGGTGTCTTTCAGCTTCTTCTTCACAATACCCCACAAATCCTCTATGGTGTTCAGGTCAGGGGAATTAGCAGGCCAATCAAGGACAGTAATGCCATAGTCAGTACACCAGTTACTGGTGGTTTTGGCACTGTGGGCAGGTGCCAGATCATGCTGGAAAATGAAATCATCATCTCCATAGAGCTTTTCAGCAGATGGAAGCATGTAGTGCTCTAAAATCTCTTGGTACACAGCTGCATTTACTCTGGACTGGATGAAAACACAGTGGACCAACACCAGCAGCTGACATTGATGTTGACATGATTTTTAATTGCATTACAGAAAATAAAGAACTTTATCACAATATTCAAATTTTCTGAGACAGTCCTGTATATATATATATATATACTTCAAGAAAGGTGTGTATATCTGTCTGAACTGGAGGTATGTTTCAACAAACCACAATGCCTAATCACATTGCAATCATGTCAAATCAAAACAGTTTTTCATTTTTCTAGCTGTATGTGCCTTGCTTGGGGTGAGATTTTTAATTTTCTCTTTCAAAACTCTGCTACCCTAGAGTGGCCATTTGCAATTTACAATATGATAAAGAAAAGAAGGAGCTGCTGCAGCGAAAACAATTGCGTAACTGGAGGATAGAAGCAAGATGAGTAAGGGGAGCACATTACCCAAAGAGGAACAATCTATTTCCTGGTGCTCCCAGTTTGAATTTCAATCAAATTAGCGTCTCTTAAACTCATAGTGACCCGTCTAGCCCCATTTCATCTGAAATGCTGATGAGGTTCATGGCACAATTATCAAGGCAGACATCTCTCTCAAGAGGCATGCCTGTTGATCGCAGGCAGGCCATTGAAAAATTAAATCATTTCCAAGGCCACAGAATGGCAGCAAGAGAAACAATGTGATGTGAGCAGAACACAACATACCCACACATTCCACAGACACCGCTGTAAGCACAATCGCCTTCTGTATCGGTATATTTAGACCATTTCAGGGTGGTCCGATTCTCTTTCAGGAAACGGGCAATTGGAAATTAACCACTGGCATCCTGCCTTCAACTTGAGATCTGATGCAAAATGCTTTCAAGAAAGCCTTCAAACTTCCAGTTGCTGTCGAAAGCTTGTGTTAATGTTACATTTATAGAAGCTGCCAATGCAGCGCTGTGGGGGAATTCCAAGGTCTTGAAGTTGTCGCTTTTCAAAGTTGTTGCATCAATCCAACACTTTTTTTCCCCCTTTTGTTTTCTTTTTTTTTTTTTTTTGCCTAAGAGAGTTATATCTGAATGCAACTGCAGACATTAAAAAGGTACTTTTTGGCTTTGTTCCAGTCAAAACATAAGAGGCATAATAATGCAAATGTACACCCACTTAAAAAGAAATGCTGCATGGGCATGGACTATGACAAAGTCCTGCTGTGGGCATCAGACTTTAAAATTCAAAATAATCAAATAGGTCTAAGGCTTGAGCAGCCTTGCAAACTTTTAAAAGAACATACAAGCACACAGTCTTTTATATCATTCTATTTACAGCAGAGGTGGCTTTATTTCTTTTTTTTTAAAGGACTGCCTGCCAGATTGAGTTGAAATGACCAAAAAAAAAAACAGATTCAAACCTGAAACTCAAAAGATAATGCAATATCTCAGAACAAATTAATAATTACTATGCTGCATGTCATTTGTACTCCAAAGTGAAAAATCCATGAAATTTTAATCCACAATAAAAGCTGCAGTAATCAGGTTTTTATTTCCACTTTATTTGGTGTGCACTACATTACATCAGACTCAGCACTGTGCACGCTATGTAAACAAGTCTCGGTTTACATGGTTAAAATGTAAAAAATACCCAGAAATAAAGTGTTAGTTGTTAATATTAGATAGCTTTGTTACTAAATATTAATTGTGGGTCCTAATCAGGAAGGTGTAAAGGTGTAAAAAAAGAAGGATGGTGAAGCTTTTGGACAGGAAACAGTATTTTCTGCTTTAAGATCTGAGGTTAACTCAAGGTGAGAAAGAGAGTTAGAAGCTTAACTAAACAGAATAGCCTACTGTAACTATTTATGAACAATTATAGTGTTTGTTTGTTTTTTATTTCTTAGTCGGATTTATTTTATTTTTCTCTTTTTACATTCTGGCCTTTCATACTCTTTATTCTTGTACCTGTAACCTTTCTTCTGTCAGCTTGATTTGCAATCTTCACAACCAGATTTCCCCATTGTAGGACAATAAAAATATTTCAATTCTATTAAAACCTGCTATGTTAATCTTTTTAAGGTTTCTCCCTCGGTCTATAATAAAAGACACTAAATGTTTGTAAATGTTAGGAACACTCTAAGTTATATTGATCTACATTCTCAAAGTTATAAAGACAGAGATAACTTTTTAGCAAAAATAACCTTGCTAACCCAAGATATATGACCAGCCTGTATATAAGGAGGCGAAGGATGATCTCTCTTAGCTGAGTGATTACCCCTGATGATATTTCAGCCAAAGACCTAAACAAGGAATATTTTACGTGTTGAATTTGTCTTCTTGTGAATCTCTTTTAATGTGGACTCTGTTATTGTTCCAGACAACCAGTGAACCTCATTTCACCTCCAATCTTCATGGAAAAGGTCCAAACTGTGTGCATCAGTTCTTAGTCTTCATCCCCTGCCGGCCTGCTCTCCAGCATGACGTCTCTTACAAGTACCAAAGCTCTAGGCTCTTACTCACATTCTCCTGGACCTCTGGGGTACAGTCTGCAAAGCCCACTGAATCAAACCCCTACAGATCCATGCTACCTCCCCTTCAGCTCTCAAGTAAGCAAATCAATCAGTCATCAGCTGTCATCAACCAACTCCTTTCTGATCAGTCTGCTTTCTCTCCTCAGACCAACCAAAGAGTTCAACTGAGTTCCTGCAGTTCCTCGCTTCCAGATTCTTGTTGCTTTTGTAAATAAAATGTTAAAATTCACTGGTTCTCTGTGTGATTCTGCATTCTGGGTAAAAAAATCTACAATCCAACATGACAAAAACTCTTACAAATTAAGATTATAAAACCTAATTTGAGTAATATCTTTCTTACAAGCAATATATATCAAATATATTAAATGTTCAAGGTCAAAGCTTGACAAAGAACTGTTATGGGAAATCACTTAGGGATGCAATTATAAGTATTTTCAGTTTATCAAACGTAATACTGGTAACTTAACGTAGCCGTTTTATTTAGATTGAACTTTTGCACATCCCTCTGAAACAACCAAACTGAATCTGGACCTTGATGAAAACTTAATCTGCTGTGCTTTAAATAAACACTAACTGTGTGTGTGCAGAGAGAAAGTACAAGGCAGAGTGCTGTCAGGCGGTAAGAATGGAGCTCCTCAGAGAGCCTTGCAAGCAGTACTGTCACTGATATAAATAGTGTAACTAGCATTCTTCAGTCTCCAGACCCCACCTCAGCTTCATTGATGCAAACTCGGAAGATGCAGAGGATTTTGAACTAATATTATGCAGGGTTTTCAGATTGTTAAATTTAAAGTAGTTTGTTTTAAAACCACATGTTTTTGTTTTGTTTGTTTTTTTCATTAAAAGTGTTTATACATGAGTTAATTAACATTTAAAGAGCCACATGTTGAACTAGTCCTGTATAGGTAATTATTCCTAAAATGATTACTGGTTATTAAGGGGGAGTGTTGGCCTAGTGATTAGAGCAGTGCGCTTGTGCTCTGAGAAGGTTGCAAGTACCCAGTCTCATCCCTACAGCCTGCACTCTGGGTCCCTGAGCAAGACCCTTAACCCCACACTGCTCCCCGGGCGCCACACCATGGCAGCCCATTGCTCACTAAGGGGATGGGTTAAATGCAGAGGTAAATTTCTCCAATGTGAGATCAATAACATTCAGTTATTAATATTACCTAAGTTTAACTTTCATTTGACTAATAATCTTGCAGATTTATTTAAATGTTCCATTCAGAGAGAAATTAGTAGTGAGAATTTTTCATCAATTAATTTACCGTTTAAAAACATGATCTACAGGCACAGCAGAAGCAATCCCTGCTGTGTTCCACCTAAGACCTTGTTTATGAATACTTCGCTAGAAGCTCATTAATCAAAGAGAAATCAATGCATGTAGGTCACTTTTCATATTATATATCTTTATATGCGCTCTAGCGTAAAGCATTATTCATCAAGGCATGACACTGTCATCTAACTTCTGTTAGGATAAAAATGTGATAGGATTTGTATTCATTGCAACCAAGCAAATTATGATTTGAGAATCAGCAATGAGATACATCAAAAACATCATACATTTAAATGACTGTTTTTATCTGTTAGATGTTATCTGTGTGGTTAAAGTGTGTTTGCACTAATTAACATGAGCACAGAAGAGGAACTGACATTATTACTAAAACCTGATCTTGAAACAAGGAATATTTACAGCACTGAACACTATTATCAATGAATGAATTATTTCAGACTTTACTGCCATGTAATTTCACATCTGGAGGGGCGGCGTCCATATGAAAAGTTCCCATACAGATTATCACCCACTTGAGTCAACTAATTGCTTGCAGCTGAATGTTCTAATTGAGCCACAACAATCCTAAGGCTATTTTCATAAAATCATTGGGCTCATGAATATAATATGCCAGCCAGATATGAAAAAAAAAAACAAGTCATAGTTCGAACAAAATCCACCAAACTCAAGCACAGCTGCAGTCAAATTCTTTACACTTGAGGACCATGACAGTTTCAGAAATGTAAAAGTCAGCCTTATTTTCTACACAGTCAGTGATTATAACTGCTTTTCACTTATTCTCCTCACATGGCATATTCCTACTGTTTCTAATATCAACTATATCACAAATGACTTAAACCAGCAGGACAAAGAGGAAAAAATGTAAATGCTCTTACTAACAGTTCCTAAAGCAAAATCAAGAAGCTTTATCATCAGTTTTACAAAACCAGACATAAAAATCAGCCAAGAAATCTTTGTATATCTCTCACCTTTCATAACCTAAAAAATGTATTTAATTATGAACACAGAGTTTTCCTAAATAAACTATTCTAATTGGCTATAATCTTGGACATTTTCATATTTTGCCAACATATTTATTTGGAAGGTGCTACATTTCTTACGAAAACAGAACAGGCTTAAATGTTGGCTTTTTTAAGTTGCCACTTTTTCTTCTTGCCAGACATAAGCTACACAGAGATTTAATAGCAAGTAAAAAGATGCCATATCTAGATTCAGCAGGAACACAACTGTATTACAAGAGTTTTTCTTCATAAGCTGTGAACCAATTGTAACATAAATACAAATCGGACTCTAATTTCCACTTTTTTCTTTCTAAGATGTGGATCAGAGATTGAACTCAAAACACAGTAAAGGCCAACACTGCACCAGGCTCCATTTGAGGGGTGCTGTGTAAAAAAAGAGCTTTAACAATTCCTTTTAATTGCAACAATGTGATTCATTTTGTTATTTTTTTTATTAGTCCCTCCCAAAGCAAAACTAAATCTTGATCTCTCTCCTATGAGCCACATCTTACAAGAGTTATTTCTCTTTATAAGCCTCTATGTCTATATAGTACAACTCAGCAAAAAATATTTATGCTAAGTGTGCATCTAAAACAGGATCTGATATCCTCGGTTGGTCTCAGGTTTTGTATATGAGCAATGAACCAAAGTCTGTCACAGTCAACAGATTGCTGCTTAATAAGGTAACAGTTGGGAAACCATTTACTGTTCTCCCACAGATTGTTTTTAAACGTCCGAGAGCAGTGTAAAAGAAAAGGTCAAAAACAGAGAGCAGGGAAACTGCAGCCTTTCAAGACAGACAATGCGAGTCAGCTATCTGACTTCATCAAATAGGACGTGACAATAACCCCCCTGAATACAAGGCCTCTACTCCTTTATTTCATTTTTTTTTTATTTCCCAAGGTGGCCTGCCAGAGTTGCTGACAGTCTCATACCAGGCAATATCTCTCTCTGTGGCAGTCATATGTCATTCCATCCTGTGCACTTTGGCTCCAGCAGTATCCCTATGTGACAACTGGTTTCATGTATTATGTCTCACGTGATGCAAGTACTTCTGGTGGAACTTTAACATGTTTAAAGCCCCATGTTTAGGACTTTGCATCATCATTGGTTTTCATCTAGGTTAAAATAGTGTCTGGTCTATATGTACATTTAGAAGTTTTTGTTTCTTAATTTGGTCAACTTTGATGCAGCATTATGGCTGCTTATCACAAGATTTCCCACTTTCTGTCTTTGCCCCATTAATAATCTGACTGCTGTATAATTAATTGCAGCCAGTGGAAAATAATTATGAATGTGCTTAGAGTAGTGTGCTGCACTACTATGCAGGATGTGAAATATGTCCTTCTGCTTTCCAGAAACTATATTCGCATGAACGTATGTGTTAATAACTCATTCGTAATAACGCTACGTCGAGAATATGGTATTTTATTCATCATTTTCCTATATGATTTAAGAGCAATATCAAATTATTCAGATATCTGAATTTCATTACAGTAAGTAGATTAAGTGACAATAATCCTTGTGACACTTCTATGGAGGGAAGGAGAACAAAGCTTTCCTATGGTGTTACCACAAAACCGTGAGTGTATTTATTCCAGCATTACAAAAAAAAGTGAAATCTAGAAAAACAAGACACAGACCACAAAACAAAGTAGCTAAAACTCTAAATAATTAAATGTAAACTTCAAATCAGACCTGATTCACTCCAAACTCACATGATTTTGATTCCGCTTCTGTCAAGTGATAATAAACTTAGATATGTAGCAGTTTTGTTTCAGTTTTAAATGCAAAAAAAAAAAATTGCATATATTACACATAATTGAATACATGAAGGAAAATGTTTCCTCAAAGCAGAATCTGACAAGTGAACTGTACATATTTATTCTGCCCCTTACAAGCAATAAATAATCCCATTTTACTGCAAATACAGGATACAGCTTTTTTTTTAAACTTTGGATCATGAGGTTTAAACTTCTGCAGAACATAAAGCATACACAGCACATATCAATCTGGAAAGTAGAGAGTAGAGCCCGATTTCAAAGGCGGGACCAGGGCAAGACAGACTGGAGTCAGCAGAAAATGGTAAGAACCAATTGGACAACTACAGATGTTGCAAAGAGATGTTTTCAAAGCAGCAGCCAGTTGTTGAAATTTTAAAGATATACTAAGTTCATCTGCGAAATAATGAAGGGCATCATTAAAACGTAGCTCCAGTGCAGCTATAATCTTTACTATCATGATTTAAAAAAAGGCGCTGTTGCATTATGGGTAATTCTTGAGCAAGCTTAAACTCCTGCCTTCCATGCTGTAATTGGTCTTGCCAGTTTTGGACCGGAGAGTCTGAGCTTTCATAGACTGACAAGCTGTGTATTAAATACATACTTTGGCGGCCCATAACAAGCTGCTGTCACAACCATGCTAAACAGTGCTTGTGGCCAATTCAGAGGTTGTGCCATAATCTCTAAGCATATATAGCATAACTTGTTAATAGGGGAAAAAATAAAAAGGATCTGACTATGACACCTGTGTCTCCTACATGGGTTGTAGCAAACAGGACCTCTTATAAATATATCTCTCAACAATGGCTTTCTTCTTACTACTCCTCCATAAACACCTTAGTCATGGATTATACTATTAACAGTTTTTTGGGGGGTATTTAGATTGTGTCAGCTTTGCAGCCACTTCACTGTAACCATCGGCCTCTTATGACGGCTCTGATTTATACTAAACTTGCTTGTGAGTTTAAGTGGACGACCATAGGCACGCATTGTCATGGTATGCAGTTTTTCCATATGTTTTTGTCTTCAGGTGCGATATTATTGAACTCGTTCTATGTGATACACAGATGTTTGGAACAAGTTTGTCGGATTGCCTTTCATTTAAGGTCATCAGTTTTGTAAACTTTAGGAAAAAGTATGGACTACATTACTTTGTGTTGCACAATAACATATAATATCAAACAATATGAAGTTAGGATTGAGGCTGTAATTTGACAAATTGTAATAAAGGTTTGAGGTGTACCAATAATTTTAAGTTTTCTCTGTCATAGTCAAAGAATCAGCTTAGATAACACAGTGCTACAAATATAATATTATTGTGAGCTATTACTTTAAGAATTATTTCTATACAGAGTAGGTACTTCATTGTTGGCAGCAAAGTATCACACAGCACTTTATGTGTGTGTATCTGCATGTTTCCATTACCACTTTCCTTTCGAGCAAAATAACTCCTACCCAGACACATAATAAATTGATATTACCAAAGGCAAGCAGCTCAACCCTATTAACAGGGTAAAATAAAGCAAACACAGACTAATGTAGGTACACAAAATCTAGATAGCAAATTTACAGTTTTATATACACCTAAGCAGTAATTACAATAGACAGAAATGACCTCCTCCAAGCCAAATGAGATCTGCACCGAGCCGTATTAATTAAGCCCTTTGATCTAAAGAAGAACAAGTTCATTTGTTTTGCTTATTTTTAAACTTCTGTCTCCTCTGAGATTTGATTATTTATGTACTGCTTGAATCTGTTTGTTGTTGTATTTTAGTTTACTTTTTTGACACTGTCCTTTCTCCTTCGCCTTCCTAAGGTTTAATGACACTTCTAATTCATCAGGTTTAGGTGCCTCTTATTGGTGTTAACAGTAATGGAATGTGGGTCATTGATAATGACAGCTGCTGTATTTTTTCAAAGAACACTTATTTATTTTAGCTTCTTTCAGTGGACTAAAGCGGCTCCTTACAGCTCATGCCATAATCTTTGTTGAGAAACTACTCTAAAGTCAGGAATATTATTTTGAAACAAAGGAAAAATGTATTTCAACAATGGCAGCTCGACAAATTGAAATAGCTGGCAGGGGTCCAGAACTATTACTGTGCCATTTCACTTACATTCTAAGGGGCCTAAAACTTAGGCAGGCACTTCACCTTGGAATGGTTGTTTTGACACTGCACAGACACGTGCATAGTTTTACCTTTGTGACATGATCTTGTAGGCATCTGGAAGATAGCAGTTGATGTTCTCCATTTGGAAGGGGTCGGCGTCGCAAATCTTGTCATCTGTTCGGCCATAGTTGGCGCTTTCAATCATTATGACATCGCTCCCTGGACAGCGAAGATCAATGGGGTAACCCTCACAAGACAGCTCTCTCCTCACTAAGCCAAACGGAAGGGCAGCTCTGCTAAACCCTGAAGGAGAGGAAGAAAGAGCTTTCTTAGAACAAACAGTACCACAGAGGAAGATGTGAACACAAAACATGAGAGCTGAATATACACAAGGGAAGTCTCTGTATGCATGCATTTCCGTATTTAATTTAAAAAGATCAAAACCTGTTCATGAATTGAGATAAAGATAGAAAACTATCACCGGCAGTCTAACATATATATAAAAGTATTCCTTTGAAATTCTTTCACATTTTAATGGTATAACCATTATCTTCAATGTATTTTATGGGATTTAATGTGACAAAGCAACACAAAGCAGTGCATAAAACTAAAGTGGAAAAAAATTCTGCTGCATTTTTCAAGATCTGCTTATGTTTCACAATTACATTTAGATGTTGACTTTTGGTCAAAATTATTGATGCACAACATATTGCAAAAAAAATACATTAATGCATGTCATTGTAATATCTCTAAGTACTATGAATTCAAACATATAATATTGATGTCATTATAAATCACAATTCACTACATGGAAAATTTAAAGTGCTTTAAATGAGTTTGATAATAAAATAGAAGCAAAATGAAAGAAGAATAAAAGAAAATAAAGACTAAAAGACATGAGTAAAACAAATAAAACAGTTGGAACACAACCTTAAACTTATAATACCTCGGTTGACAACTTAACTTCAACAGCCAAAGGCAGTTCTAAACAAATGGGGTTTTCATTTTAACTTAAATGAACTTAAAGTTGCATCTTGCTGGAAGCCAAGAGAAAAACAGAAAGAATATATTATTCACAACTGATCACATTATATACTAATATAATTGTTAACAATATAGGAATTTTCTAACTTGCATCAATATTCAAACAGTTTGGTTGTATTATTTTTTAGATGTTGAGCATTGTTGCTCAGCTGAAAAGAGAACCGCCAACTCAGTCCCAGAAATTCTGTTAGAGCATGTAAAAGACTGAAAGAGGAAAACAAAGATCAAATGTGAAAAACCCCCCATGAAAAAAAAAAATAATAATAATAAATAAATAAATAAATAAGCAAAAATCTCAGCGTGGAGTTCACTGAAGTAAGAGCTAAAGCCTTGGAAGCTGCCAAATTAATGGATTGCTTGAATAAGTGTTGCCAAAAGATAGCGATGTTGTACAAAAATGTATAAGCCTGCCTATTGGGCCTGGTGCAAAAATTATTGGCAGGCTCAAAAAGAATTAAGTAAACACTATCAGGATAATTGCTTGGCATATATTGGCTTATTAATTTTAGATTAAGCTATATTGTTGTTGTTTTTTATAGGCATAGAAAATGACTAAGCCTCTTCATATTTGGTCTTAAAAGAGTGAAGAATCCTCTTGTTAAGTCAGACGTTTGCCACACAACGTGTGGAAAAAGAAGAGTTATAATAAAAAAATGGCTTTCTTCCTGTTATTTTTCCAAAAAGACCAGATTTCCAAAGGTATTTGGTTTTGGTTTAGTTATTTAGAGGAATCGGAATAATTTGATTGAATACATTACCATGTCAGCTTTAAAAGATTTTTTTTTCTTTTGAATGGACACACAAAATAAATTTTCAACTACTTTTTGTTAAACCACTAAATAAAATTAAATACAAAGGATTTTGTGATTATAAAGTAAACCATCTAAAAGACTTCCAGGGGTTTGAAGACTTATAGGTACATATCAAGTAAACGTTTCAGTATTTAACTGCACCAGGGAGCTAATGGTATTTTGTCATCCCTTTGCCCTAACCGGCCCTGAGCAAAAATCAATAATTGTCATTAAAGTATAGTTTGTCGACCTAATGTCTGGAGCCCTCGGTACCCTTGCAACGATCATTGTAAGTACAATCATATTGATAACGCGCAAAAAAAGTAAGACAACCAAGAGGATAAAAACGTATTTCAAATAAAATAAAAAGCTGGTGTAAACTTAAAAAAGAGCAATTTTTTCTGTGCTTTAGTCTCATTTGAAAAACCGGCTGTTGCTTCATTCTTCATTTCATCGTAAAAACATAACATTAAGTTCTATACCAAAGGGCTTATCTTTTTCTTTCAATCCTGATTTCTTACTGTACAGAATGAAAAAAAGAAACAACCGCCATGACAACATAAGTGTAATTTAATCCTCTTCACAGAGCTCACAATCGAAGAAAGCACTATTGGGAGGCAGGGAAAAAAAACATCCATGAATGTGTGTGTGTAAGTGTTTGTTTCTGTAAGGGCAGGTGATGGGACTAGAAAAACTGGAAACAAAATCAATGTTGTTGTTCTGCAAATAAGAGTAATGCCAAAAGTCATTTTAGAACTAAAAGTAAGGCACGCAGGTAAACTTCATGAAACGCTATGCGTGTTTGATAAGAGCTATTTTCTACCGCTGTGACATGTCAAACATTAAAGAAGAAGGGCAGAGGGCCTAATAAGACTGCCAGGTGCTCCTGTGTTGACTTCTTTGACTAATAAGCAGCTTCCCAGCATCCAGTGGTGACTCTGTCACCTCTTTGAGGCCTTATATAACAGGGTATCTACCTTCAACTTCGTGGAAGGCTGTTGTTTCTAAAGACTCCGTCTCCCTAATGAGGTCTAGTTCAGTCGGGAAAGGAAATAAAGAACACCCTCACTACTTCTCAGGTTCTAATTTGTCTGCCTCATAGACAAGTTGGAAGGATCCATTTATGCAGTTTAGAAACATAAAGGACTATTCCTTCTTTTGATGAGTCACAAGAAGGTGTTTACTTGCAGTGCAAGACAACATTGGTCAAAAAAGGCAGTCAATTTTACCCTAATAAATGGCTTATCAATTCGCAACCAATCATCATCATTATCTAATAAAGACACACCTCTCTGTCTGTTTTGGCTGTTGATCCATTTAGGCATAAATCAGGTGAAAGCTGCAGAGGTGTTTGTTCAATGGCATAGAGCAAACAAAGAACATTGTTTAAACCAGGTCAGCTGCTGTTGTAAGTTTATTTATTAGAACCTGGTGTTGAAAAAAGGTGAAAAAGAATGAAAGCAACTCGCTAGGAACATGACTTGACAGTCTTTTTTAATTAGGGCTAGTGGTTGATATAAGCCTAACAATTCAATTCAACCTAAATTTGATTTAACATTGTTTTAAATGTTAAATCTATTTCTAAGTAGAAGTACACATTCTAATAGAGTATCTTGTATACCTAAATGTAAAAAAACCATTGAGGTATACCGGTGCATATATGAATATTTTTAAGTATTAAATATCAATATGTAGTAAAAACATAAAAGTACAAAATTAACAATGAAGTATAATGCTAAATTGTTTTCCTTTTCTTTAAGAAGTGGGGAGAATTGAAATTATTTTTTACAAAAATAAATCTAGAAGTATATCACTAGCACAGAAATACTCTTTGTGAATATGTACTCAGGGCAGAATTGGTGTTACCTTACATGCAAGATGAACTGTCACGAGATTTGTGAATTCACAAAATCCCAAAAATACGTCTTGCCAGGAGCCAGCAGATGCATTTGCTTTGATACAGAAATGTTTTGGAACAATGAGATATAATGACATGTATGACATCAATGCGTCAACTAGAGATGGAAGGCTTAAGCAAAACAAACATGGCTTTGCCGATGTTAGTTGGAATTCACAGGGTATTCCTTGTAGAAAAATGAGCCAAAGGATGTGAATTTTACCTTTGTGGATCGGAAGACGGTTGCGCATTTCCCCCCCAACTGGATTTGTTAATTGGATTTATTGATTAACTTCGCTAGTTGTAAAACAAACATACAAAAAAAAAATCAAACTGCAACTAAAAACCGAACATTGATTGGAAGGCAGGTACCCAATCAGCTGGAAGAAATGTACTGTATGTCCCTCCTTTGCGAACACTTTCTACAAGATGCTTCTCAGATTGATAAGTGTAATTAAATTTGAATTCTACATGTTATCAATCTAGATTATGCCAGGTTAAGATTGGAGAGAAAAAGTTGCCCATATGATTCTCACAGACTGGCTCAATTCCAACTGCTGGGTTGACAGTTTAGTGAAAGATATACGTTTATAAATAGATATAATTAACAGATATAATTAGAGTGCTGATGTGATGATTTTTAATTTCATATGGCCTACATTATAATAATAATAAAAATAATAATAATAATAATAATAATAATCAGCAACAGCATAGAATATATAGTCATACAATTTTTTTGCCTTGCAACAAAATTAACTTCCAAACTTAACAACCTGAACCCTGCAAGATAGCTAATGTAATTATAAAAATGTGTTTGTGATTCAAGTGCGACAGGAGCCTCATAGTCTGAACCAATAGCCCACAAGGGAAATCCTTGTTAGTCCAACTTGCCTGACTGCCACTGTATCATCACTGCAGTTTTGCATTTGTGTTATGCGCCTTTTACTGTATAAAGCATATCACACAAAACTGTTGATAACAAACTCACAGGCTGTGGGAACTAATTGTTTTGTGGATCTATTTTGAATTGAGAAAAACCTAATTCCAATCAATTGATTAATCGATATTTTTTTAACCTACCCCTAATGTTCATCACATATTATTGCAATCTAGCACAGCATTCTCACTGAGGAAATCCATCAGCTTAAATGTAGCTTAATTGGTTTATGCTACTTAATACATAGGGAGGGATACCCATTATTTTTAAACTTTTAAATATGTATCTTTTTTCCAAAATGTTCAAAATTCTTGAGAATGGTTGTTTCAAAGAAAGAAAACTAAACGATTAAAAGAAACCTTTATGTATTGTCAGAACAAATAAATCAAAAGTAATTGTAATAACTAACAACAATTATTTTCAGGCCCATTATACCACAGATTGCTTTGTAAACTACATGTTAAATTTGTCTTTACAAGAAAGTCAGTGTTACAAATGCGAGATGCTTCAAATATATTTATTTCCATTATGTCGGTAAAATTAAAAATTAACTTAGATTCAGACACCAGCTCGAAATGTAAAAGTCAGCTTTAAAGACAATTGTGGGAAAATATGAAGAACAAGCATCCTT